GGTGTTCAGAATGGTTTGATCCCTATCCAGCTGAATTCCTGAGAGGAGACGAAATCCAGGTCTCCTACTCCTCCGCCATCTTGCTCCGCCTCCCGGTCTCTGACCTTTTATCAGTTGGAAAGCACTTGTTCCTTGCTCATATCTAGTTAACTACCTACTCTGTCACACAGACACTGCTGTAGTTACTTTGGTTTAAATCTCAAGTATTATCATATTGTAGTACCTAGTATGGTGTTGTGCACATATAAAAGGGAATGTTTCTTGAGTTTCAGTAAATATATATTGGCAATTAGGTAACTATTTACACAGCTTAGTGAAGATTCAAACTTGAAAATATATGACAGAAGCTTGCTCACTGTCAATGAGAATTCACTTTTAAAATGTTATTAACAACATTTTGTTGTTAATCCCCCCACTCCCACTCCTACCCCTGGGCAGAGAATGGCTGCCATGACAGTTCCTGGAAGGACCATATAGGGCAAAAAACTTCCTCTCCCCACCAGTAGGAGGAATCCCTTAGATGATTGGTGGCAAACTTAGAAGGACACTGCCCTAGCTATGATTCATACCCTATCCAAACATAAAAAGAAAAGACAACCCTGACCCCCAGTACAGCTGCCCCCTCTGGGCCTGCCCGGGTGGCTCAGTTGGTTAAACCTCCAACTCTTGGTTTCAACCCAGGTCATGATCTCATGGGTTGTGAGATCAAGCCCCACATTGGGCTCTGTGCTCAGTGGGGAGTCTGCTTGAAGATTCTCTTCCTCTGCCCCTCTCTCCACTCTTGCATGCTCTATCTCTAAAATAAATAAATAAATCTTAAAAAAAAATAAAATGTTATTCACAAGCTTAAAATCTTAAAGCACTTTCCAGTATAGAGGACCCACATTATATTAATAGATTAGAAGTTAACATGGCTCTTAAGAATTAAAATATTTCATAAATATTAAGACAACTTGTTACAAAAAAGGAGAGTTTTCCAAGCATACAAATAAGTTGCCAAACACAAGGAGTTTACAATAAATTATAACCAGAGATAATGTATGAGTCTTGTAATTATAGGAAAAAAGCCTGCAGAGAGGGGGAAAGCATGAGGTGGTCCCCATGGATCGTGGAGCTCAGAAGGAAACCAGTACCCAGGACCTAAACTTTAGAGCAATGAGCAAGGTAAGAGAAGAGAGTTGTTGCCTGGCTGTTTGTCCTAACATTCTGATTCTTTAGGGTTCTCCCTGGGCACATTTGTTTATGTTGTGAATCAGTGACTAACAATTCAGTGTTGTATGGAAAAGAAAACAGTAAGAACAGCAACAATTAAATAACCCAAGGGATTTCCATTAGTGCTCTCTCAGCTCCTTTCAGGAAAGCTCCAGTCTGTTGGCCTGTTTTGTCCTCTCCCTGGGGACTTTTTTTCTTTCAGATCCTAACCAATCAAACTATTGTATGTGTTTTCCTTCCCCTTAAAAAAAATGTAGTCACCCATCCTCTTTAATGCTTTCAACAAAATGAATAATAAAAGAATTCTTGGAGGGGGAGAAGAAAAGGAGAATTTATGAGAGATAAGCCCACCCACCTTTCTTTAAGAGAGATGACACTTTTTAGAATTGGCTCTTCTTTTTCTCTGAAGAGACACCAAAAGAAAGAAAGGAATCTATGGGAATGTGAGAACTAAGCTCATCTGTCATTAGTCTTTACAATAAGCTTTGCTGGTTTGACTTGTGAAGGATAGAAAAAGTTTGTTTGAAGCAGATTAGAGACCTAGACTTCACAACCATTTCTTGGTGAAGCCAGAAATGATTGTAAACAGAATGAATGGAGTTTATTAAGACCAAGACAAGTATCAAATAACTAAACAGCTGTGTATACATTTTACTCTCCTTATGCATACAAGGGACTTTACGTACTCCACAGAGTAGTGGAAGGGAACTAACTTACAGGTGTTTATTATGTTCCACATACTGTGGTAGACATTTTATTTAAATTATTTCTTCAACTCTAAAATACCTATTAAATTATTATGGCACGTTACTTACTGAATTATTTTGGATTGTTGTAAGGATTAAATGAGATAAAATAAGTCATATCTGGTACATTAAATTCTCACAACAACCCTATAAATCTCAACAAGGTTAAAGTGACCCAGCCAAGGTCACATAGTTAGAATGCGGCTGAGATGGTGTTCTCATCCTCACTCCTACTAAGTAGTATATGACTACACAATAATGCATTTGCTGGATAATTGTCTACCATGCAGGTGATAGGAGGGATCTTGGGCCAGAAATTCCAAGCAAAAGTGTGTTACTGTTAAACAAAATCTATTCTGAGTAATAATTTGTAGTTACTGGGAAAAGCATTATTTTTATGCCTCTTCTACTCTTGAAGTACAAAGTTTTGCAAATTGCTTAATTTCCTCTTTGTAAGCTGAGTGCTGCAGGCAAGCTATGTTTTCCTCCTGGCAAGCTATTTCTAAATCCATATGTGGAGAGTAAGTTTGAGGAAATTTGATATCCCAAACTTCGTGTAATGAAATGAATGTGATACTTATTTGGGAATTTTGTGTTCTCATGATGATTATTTAATGTTTCTAAGCCTTCATAGGTGGAATATTTTAAACCACTTATTTGTCTGATAGAATGGTATGCTATGCAGGCAGAAATGTGAGTAGAATTTAATTTTCATAGAGATGTCAGGGCTGTGGTTTTTAGTCCTAATATTATTTGTGTTATTTTTGATGCAAACATTAGGGAAGGTGCAGGAATATCAGGTGAAATTGTAAAGAGCTTAGGAATAAAATACTTATGATGACAAAAGTGATGGTTAGCCCATAGTTAATCCAGTATAATACAATTTTAAATGATCTAAATACTACGTATCCTTTCTGTCTAGTTAATTTTATGATAACAACATATTCTGGAATATAAGCTTCAAAAGGACAAAGATTTTCATCAGTTTTGGTCACATCCGTATCTCTAGAACCTAGAAGAATACCTGGTATATAGTGAGTGTCCAGTAAACATTTTCAAAAAATGAAATACTTAGGCAAAGGGATAGAAGGTTGAGGAATTGAACTCTAGGAATGTAGGAATAGAAAGAATGTTTATCAGAAGAACAGAATATTAAAGGGATGATAAACTATTAATGTAGGGATGGAAATAATTATATAGAATTGAATCTTCAAATGAAATAGAAACATTTCATCATTGTTGAGAGTGCCTCCAAATGATCAAATATAGTTTGCATAATTCTTTCAGATTATTCAGCTTTGTAATATAATTTGAAGTCTGGCATTGTGTTGCCTCCAGCTTTGCTTTTCTTTTTCAAGGTTGCTTTGGCTATTTGGGGTCTTTTTGGATTCCATACAAATTGTCAAATTGTTTGTTCTAGCTCTGTGAAAAATGCTGGTGGTATTTTGATAGGGATTGCATTAAATGTGTAGATTGCTTTGGGTAGTATAGAGCTCCCAGACTATTCACCAGATGAAAAGGATAGTACTAGGATGTGAAATGTTAAATTTTAAAGTGTGATTTTAAAAAATATGTGTGTATATTTGTGTTTGTGTGGTATGAGTGAGTGAGATGGGCTGATGAAAGAAAGAATGGAGTGGTAAAGAATGAATAAAAATGTTTTAATTAGCTCCTAGATTACATCTTATTTTACAGAACTAGCCATTGGCAACGACTTTTCATCAATTTTGCCTAGTGTCATTTTGGCTGTAGCATTATCTGTGATAATATGGTGCTACACAGTGATTTCTTCATTTAATTATTGTTTATTGCCTATGCCACTTAGACTTTAACCAAGTCGCCACTTTTTCTAGGAGCTTAAATTCTCTGCACTAAATTCTTCCATTAAATATACATAATATTTTTTTCACTAATGATGTGCAGAAAAAAATGAAATAAAAGGAAGCAAAGAGAGAGAGTTAGGAATTGACAAGAAAATCTCAGTTTTCTACATTCATTGTACTAGGAAAAGCATGGCACTTCCTTAATTTGTACTTGAAAACAAAAAATTGCTATCTTTTATATTTTAATTAGTTTGGGGACCTAAGGATGGGAGAATAAGAAATTTTAAGTAAATTCAAGGAAAAAAATTGCCCATTTCTAGGAAAAAACGTGTTAAAAGATTATTAAAATACTTTAGACAGTTGATAAGATGCCTCTGTGAACATTAAATAGTTCTTACAAAACAAAATTTTGGTTATTTATATATAAATAAATGAGAAACAGATGAATTAAATTTCACACAAAATACATATGACTTAAAAAATTAAATGTAAAAAAATACTTGGCAAAACTTATTTGGAGTTTGGTAAAACATGAAACGTATTTTGGGTTTGGTAAAGCCACAGACATTTGAAAAATATCTTGAAATAATCACCAAACCCAAAGTGTTCCTAAGTTAACCCACTCTTTAGAAACTTTTTATTGTGATGATGTCTCTGATGATTGATCATTTATTTCTTTTACTGAAGAAAAAAATCCAATTATGAGAAATTCAGGGGAGATCAAATTTTCTTTTTCCAGTGAATTGCTAGAATTTGAAAACCCAATAATTTAACAGGCATGTTGTTGGCTTGTTTTTAAAAACCCTCCGTAGCACTATTATTACAGTTGGGCTATAATAGTCAAAAATTGGCTTCTCTCCATTCACAGCTCATGTTTCCTCTTGAAGTTTGAGGAGAACTTGAGTGTATCTCATCCATCTCTTGATCTTTCTCCTTCTCCTCTTCTTCCTTCTTTTTCTCCTCTTCTTGCTCTTTCTTCTTTTGTATGTCATTGTTTTCTTTGAGTGCATTTCAATAATAGTACCCCTGGTTGCATGTTGGAAATTGCAAAGTAGGCAAATGTCAACCCTAGTTCTCTACCAGTCTAGCAAAACTATTCCTTCTTTATATTCCTTAGCTTCTCTCTAGGTGCCAGTGTTCTGAGCTGGGCCTACTATTTACAGTTTCAGCCACACAGACCTCCTTAAATATCAACCACTTGGGGAGTACCCAAACTATCTTCTCATCAAAGTTTACCTTATGGATAACCTGCAACACACTGGGGAGAGAGGTGTTGGAAATATATTATCTAATTATAGTTGCTCACATTACTTTGTAGGAGAAGAAAAATGGCATTAGACTTTAGTTGGAAAATTTCTAATAAATGTCCCTATGACTCTTTTGGTGCTAGAAATAGAGTTTCATTTGAGCTAGGTTAAAGCAGAAATAGGATTCATGGCTATCTTCTAGCACATAAAGCTAGATCTAGAAGCAGGTGCTGCAACACTATCAGGCTCTTTCTGTGTCTCATTAACTACCCTGGATGAGTCTGTAGCTTTTTTCTCTCCTGCAGACAGGCTTCTTCTACTTCTTTGGTTTACAGGGAAGAACATGGCTCATATAATTTCTGAGTTTACTTGTAACAAGTTCAGCACCAGAAGAAAGACTAAATTTTTATTTTGTTCCAAATTCTCAATTTTAGAGGTAGAACTCTTACTGGCTGTAGGGAGCAAAATGGAGTCCCTCATGTCAAGCAGGGGCCTGGGTCAAGCAATGACACAAGCAGTTAAAGGTACTGCAGCTAGGAGATATCTCAGGGACCAGCATCAGCAGACACCCCGGAACTGATAAAGAGCAGAACCAGAGGAGGTCTGTGGGAGCCCTAAACTGATTAAGTCCCTCTAAAAAGGGGAGGATTTTGGAAGCAAACTGTCAGACTCTTCAGACATGACCCCTGTAGGTCTGACCCCTTAAAAAAGGCAACTGCCCCCGAAGGCTCTGCCCGATGGATCTCTGAACAGAACCGAGATCCTTCACTGCTTGAACATAAGAAGCAGTAAGTGCCAAGAGCTGACCCTGACCAGATGGAGGTCTTCTCTCAACTGTGCACACACAGACTGACTTTGTGTTTGGTTGGTTAACTTCCTGCACCCTTCAGTTATCTTGTTTGTTGTGAGGTTTGTCTTATGCCCTGCTCTGTGTGCCATGTAAGAAGTCAAGTTTAATCACTTGGTGAAATGTCATTGAATCCTGAACCTGCTTTATAATTATGATTTAACTTTGCTTTATGATTGAATAAAGTTGACATTGTGGAGAGACACAACTCATGTGTGCGCCTTCATGGCGTGCTCATGACACTGGCCCAGCTTGGTAGTTACTTTCTTTTTTTTTTAAATTTATTTGA